TACTTTAAAATAAATACACCGACTAATATTAACTCTCCAAATTTAATAGGCTCCTAAGAATGTGTTTGAAATAATTTTTTAAAAGTACTTCTAAAACTTATAACTTTTTATAAATATTTTTTTTANCCATCATCACCGCCATTTGCCACCACCTATCACACTATCGCTTAGAAGCATCCGTCGTCGCCCACCACTATCACAGTCGCCCACCACCACCATCACCACCACCCATCACCCACAATTGTTACTACCGCCATCGTCACAAATAAAAATATCATTGCCATCCATGGCTGACACCATCACAATTATCGCCATCCACCACAATCATCACCATCTCTTACCACCACTTCCACTGTTCACCCCCACTATAATTGGTACTTAAATTCACTTCTCTCTCTTTTATGTTTGTGATTTGACTTTAGGTGTGAATACAAATATGTTTACTGTTAATAATTTTTTTATTATTTTATACCTTCAAACACAAGAAATAACTAGTAGATCTATGTAATAAAGTACAATACAATACAAATCTCAAAAAATAAACAAAATAATTTTTGATTTTCATGGTTGAGATCTCTTTAAATTTTACTTTAAAATAAATACACCGACTAATATTAACTCTCCAAATTTAATAGGCTCCTAAGGATGTGTTTGAAATAATTTTTTAAAAGTACTTCTAAAACTTATAACTTTTTATAAATATTTTTTTAAAAAAATATTTGAAACTATCCCACTACCACCACCACTGCCCAACCCATCACCACCGCCATTCCACCACCACAACTGCCACCCACCGTCACCACTGTCGCTACCGCCACCACATCACCACCTCTACCACACCCACTGCCCCACCACCAATACCACCATCCTCACCGACCCATCACCATCACACCACCACCACCACCACCACCACTGCCCCCCATTCCCACCACTACTCCCATCACCATCACCCACTACCACCAATATCGTCACTGTCGTCACTCCACCACTACCTCTGTCACAACCACCACCACCACCCACTATCAATTGCTACCCCCATCGTTCACTGCCACCACTTACCACTATTGTCATCTTATTATTTCATTTATTACCACTACCACTATCATCTAGCTACCACTGTTAGTATCTACTACCACCATTGTTGCCTACCACCACAACTTGTCATCGCCTATCACCGCCGCCACCCACTGTCACCCACCTCCACAACATCTATTACCACCACCACCGTCATTCGCCAATACCCATCACATTGTCGCCCAAAAAAATCTGTCATTAGAGATGCAACTCGGGTGGATTAAGAGGTTAACGGTAGTCTAACTCTAAGTATATAATCTTCAACTCTAACTTTAACACAATCCGAGGTACTCAATTCGAGTATTGCTTGAGTTTAATTCGGACGAGGCTCAGGTTGAATTTAAGTTACTTAATTGGGATTTTTTTTTTTGGGAGGGGGAAGGGGAGATTGGGTTAGGTTCGAGTTACTTAATTCGGGTTGATAAAAGAGAGAAAAATGACGAGTGGGAAAAGAAGGCTGAGAGTCTGAGACGAGACTTAGACGAGTGATAGAGAGATTTAAGAGTGATGGAGGCACAGGGGTGAAGACTTGAAGTGAAGTGAAGTGAAGTGAAAGTTTAGATTCTAAAGAATAAATATAAATATTAACTTTAGTTAAATATATTTATATATTTATGTATATTCAAGTTCAATTCGATTTTAATATTCGGGTTAAACCAAACAATTCGAAGCCTCAACCCGAGGCTTGCTCGAATATAATTCGGGTTGAAATTTTTTTATCCAAGCCTAATTCAAGTATTAAAAATTAAAAATCAAACCNTGATAACTTGAAGAGAACCTGTGTTCCCACTCCGACAAGGGAGAATCAACAACTTTTCAAGATCCAAAATAACCAAAGCTCTCGATGGAGTAGTAGTCCAATACCAGCTGATAAGCAACCCAAAAGCCCAAAAGTCTAGACCCAACAAATAAAAGCCCAAAATAGAAGTAGGCAGCCCAAAGTTGAAAACCCAACAGTTAGGGTTTCCTACCAAATAATAAAAGTCTNAAGCCCAAACTAGAAGTAGGCAGCCCAAAGTTGAAAACCCAACAGTTAGGGTTTCCTACCAAATAATAAAAGTCTGGGAGAAAGACAATAAAAGAAGCCGCAACACAGATTTGAGCAAGAAATCCAACCCAATGGCTGCAAACAACAGACCAATTCGGTTGCTACAATGCTGGTCGAAGAATAAAATCAGCCAAAAATCAACTCAAATGTGTCAAAAACACTTCGAATCTTTCAATTAATCACACAAAGCCTTTAGTTGAACTTTCATGAGCGATTAGAAGCAACTTTGCAAAATCCTTATATTGAAGAATTTCCCCATAAAATTTGAAGAATACTTTAAAAATTCGAAAAACTTGCCAGACAATCACAAATTCAAATATGACAAGTTCCAAGTTGAAGCCCATGGAAAGTCAAACTAGATTGAGAGCGATTATTGCTTCAGGGTGATGATGTCATCATCGACGTAAATGATGTCATCCGTTGGTTTTCAAATATTTTAGAAGACCACTACTTCGGTTGCGTTGCTAATCATATTTAGAATCAAAATGAAGAAAAAAAAATTAGAAAGAAAAATATCATTGAGACAATAAGTTAGTGCAACGTTTTGACATAAGATAATACATATACAATCTAAATACAATAAAAATCTAAAAAGTTAAAAAATGTGATTTTTATTATTCGCGGTTGATATCTTTTTAAATTTTATTTTAAAATTAATCCGACTACTAATATTAATATCCTAAATTTAATAGAGATAAGTGTGTGTTTGTGATGACTTTTTATAAGTGTTTTTAGGATTTATAACTTCTAATAAGTAATTAAAAAAAAATAATATTTGAAATAGCCCTACCATGACCTCTACAACCACCCCCACCCCCACCGTCCCACCACTGTCACC